TCTTTACCGAGGCACTTCCCACTGATGGTTTTGGTTATTGTTTTTCATTTCTTCCTCGTGTATTGTTTTGCTCAAGACACTTTGCAATGCTGGTTTTCTGGCTGCAAATTCTTTTAGCTTTTGTTTATCATGAAAGATTTTTATTTCGTTGTCGTACCTGAAGCTTAATTTGGCTGGATACAGAATTCTTGGTTGGCATCCATTGTCTTTCAGTGTTTGAAATACGTTGTTCCAGGATCTTCTCGCTTTCAGCGTCTGTGATGAAAAATCCGTTGTTAACCTTATTGGTTTACCCCTGAATGTAATCTTCCTCCTTTCTCTTGTAGCTTTTAATATTTTCTCTTTGTTCTGTATATTGGATATCTTCATAACAATGTGTCTTGGCGTTGGTCTACTGTGATTTTGTATGCTCGGTGTCCTGTATGCATCTACAATTTGTATATCCGTTTCCTTTTTTATTTCTGGAAAGTTTTCTGTAATTATTTCATTCAGCAGGTTACTCATTCCCTTGGTTTGAATCTCTATACCTTCCTCTATCCCGATGACTCTTAAGTTTGGTTTTTTTATGTTATCCCATATCTCTTGGATGTTTTGCCCGTGATTTTTTACCAGCCTTTCTGAGTTGGCTAGACTCTTTTCAAGATGATATATTTTGTCTTCATTATCTGATGTTCTGGCTTCTACTTGCTCCACTCTGTTAGTGATACTCTCATTTGAGTTTTTAATTTGGTTTACGGTTTCCTTCATTTCTGGAATTATTGTTTGATTTTTTTAATAATCTCTATCTCCTGATAAAGATACTTATTTGCTTCTTTTATCTATTTATGTAATTCATTTTCAATGTGTTCTTTCATTGTTTGAATTTGCTGTCTCATATCCTCTTTAAGATTCCATTCCATCTGTCTAAGGTATTCCTTGAGTTCTTTATTTGACCATTTTTCTGATGCCTCTAGGTCCTCCTGAATATTTAGGCTGTCCTGCATTGTTTGTACTCCTTTTCTTCCTTGCTTTTTCATGCTGCTCATGTTACTTCTTGTTCTGTTTGACTGCTGAGTTACTATTTACTCCTATAAATTTATTTGATGCTTGGGAGGAAAGGTATTAGAAGGGAAGGGAAGAAGTCACTAAAGAGAATGAGAGTAAGCAGGTAGAATTCAAGGAAGGGGGAATAAGGAAATTGAAAAGACAAAAGAAAAAAATAGAAAAGAAAAAAATTTAAAAAAATAATCAGAAAAAAAATAATAAATAAAAAATATTTAAAAATTTAAAAAAATTTAAAAAATGAAAATGAAAAAAAAACCCAAATTAAAAAAAAAATTAATAAATACAGTCTTAGAGTTTGATTAACTTCTCTTCCAGTAGGTGGAGCTGTGCCCACCAGGCCAAGCTTCTCTCAGTACGCGGGAACCAATCACTGTGCAGCAGCTCCTCCTCCCAGACTGGGCGGGTTTCCAATCCTGAGTGCCTAGGGCCTTTTCTTGTGTCTAGTCACTTCTCCACTTTTCCTCAAGCCAGGCCCCACTCACCGGTGACGCTCACCACAATACTGGCTACACGCCAGGTCTGCTGCTCCTGGGAGCCCTATTTTCTTGAACGACTGGGCACACTCTCACTGTTTGCCATTCCCTCAGACCCTAAGTTTGTGGAGCTTGGGGCTGAGAACCCTCAGAGTATTTTCCTTGCCCTCCAGTAGCCACGCCCCAAGTAGCTGGTGCAAGAGACCTCAGTTGTCAGCACTGGTGGGAGAGGTAGCCGGGGGTTCCGCACCGCGGGTCCCGCACCACTCCTGATTCCCTCGGTCTGACTATCGCGCTCATGGGAGAGCTGGGAGGGGCCCTTGAGGTTTCCTGCTATGTGGAGAGGGAAGGCTAGGGGGTTACACACTTGTCGCCGCCGGTTTTAATGAAGTTATCTCATCCACCGCATTCTGGTGACGTCAATTCTCTGCCATGGTGGTATCCCATGCAAATGGCGACAGTTCGTTCCCTTTGCTGGGTGACTGATGCAACGGGTGGGTCCTGACCGGCTCTCCCAAGCCCCGTCTCAATCCTGTGGCCACTGCCTATGAAGGCTCGGTTGGTATTAACCTCCGCAGGTTCAGAAAGGCCGACCAGTTGTTTCAGCGGGATCGTTTAGTGCTGAGTCACAGCTGTTTGTGTGTGAGACGCAGGCGAATGGGAGCTTGAATTCAGCTGATCCGGGCTCGGTGTGTGTTATGAGAGGCCCAGACAGTTCGCCCCAGATCCACGTCAGCTCAGCATTGCCTAGTGATCCTGAGCAAACAGCATTTAGACGGTTTAAGACTCCCTATGCCCGTGCAGCTGAAGAGGTCAGAGACTTGATCTCTCCACGCCCGCCGCCATGCTGGATCTCCTAATTTTTCCTAGTATTATATATGAGCCAGGATCATTGCATATGACACATTTTATTTTGTTTTGTTTTGTTTTTCTTAAGCCTGTTCTTTGCTTTTTCTTTTTTGATACCAGGGATTGAACCCAGGGGTGCTTAACCACTGAGACACTCTTTCTATATTTTATTTTGAGACAGGTTCTCACTAAATTGCTGAGGCTGGCTTTGAACTTACAATCCTCCTACCTAAGCCTCTCAAGCTGATGGGATTGCAGTTGTGCACCACAGTGTCAGGCCTGTCCTTTGCTTTTTAAACTTCTAATAAAACTTGAATTTTAAAAGAGTAAAGTTTTTGTAGTTATTTTTTCAATTTTCATAGAGTACTACATATTTTTACTAGACCCCCAATTTGTAAGGAAAGTTACCTTTTTATCTTTGATTGTTCTATTTGATCATGGTCATTAAGCACTTTGATTTTGTGTTTTTAGTAACTGTTGGTGAACACAACATCCAGCACCTTTATGATTAACAGAGTGCTGAATAACAGGGTTTTTTCCTCCCAAAAATTTTAATAAAGTCATCAGTTTTTATCTGAGTGAACTATAGCATATTTATGGTTTGTGTTTCTTTACCAGATGATGACAGAATTGATTTTAAAATATAAGTTAGAAGCCTTCTGTATTGTGATGGTGCATACCTGTAATCACAGAGACTCAGGAGGCTGAGACAGGAGGATCTTGAGTCCAAGGCCAGTCAGAGCAATTTAGCAAAACCCTGTATCTGAAATAAAAAAATAAAAAGGACTGGTGGTATAGCCCTTGAAAAATGCCCTGGGTTTAATCACCATTACCACAGATATGTAAGTAGGTAGAGAGGTGCCTTCAGTATTAATTGGAAAATCCAAAAACCATAATTTTTAATGTTATTTAAAATGTATCCCTATAGGAAAATTTCACTTGATATTTGTCTTTGGAAATTTTTTTGGTTCCCACTTTACTTAAATTTTTTTATAATAAGGAAGTAAACTAAGCCAAATTCAGGACCAAATTTTAAAGTACCTTGAACAGAATTTTGAGCACTCATTTTATAAAATTGTAATCACCTCATACTTTTCTTGTAGTGGCAGCCTTGGCAGCCTCACTTACTTGACTCCCAACTGCATTGGGCACCAACTCCTCTAGGCTAGCCAGTAAAAGATGTTATGGATAGGTCAGTGTTTCGTCATCGTAGCAATAGGATATAGCAGGTGTACATGGTAAGCAGCTCTTATAATTAACTGTCAAATTAAATGATACTAGTGGCATGATCTAAAAGATTAGACACTCCTTCTCCTTCTGATTAGAATTTTGCTTTTCTATAGCTTCTATAAAGTCAATTGCCTGAATGTGTAAGTACAAAATAAAGATATTTATACATAAGAAAAGACTATTTTCTTTTTTATTAATGTAAGTTGTATTCAAAATCTTGTGTAAAATACTGTTTATATTTTAATTCTTCCATAAACATTGGTTTGAGTCTAAACTTTTAGAAGGTTATTGACAACCCTTATGTCTTGTTTAGCATTATTTTTCTAGTAGATAAAATCCTCAACTTGTGTTCATAATCTCTCTGAAATATCTTCATACATCTAAAAAACTCATTTAACTCTCTTAACATACAGTGTTTCCATGTATGTCACTTTAGGAAAAAGAAGTCATAAGAGACAAAAAGCTTTTAACTATACTTCTTGAGTATTGTAGAAGTGCTTAGAGACTTAGATTTCAATCCTATTTGTCACTTATCACGTGGCCTTGAGCAAGTCATTTAAATTCTTAGATTGCAGTTTCCATGTCTCTAACATGAGTTTTGGTGTAGATAAAATTTAAATGATAGGACAAAACTGCTTAAGAGGCTAAAATACTACATAAATATAAGGTACTATATGTATAAATTAGTCTATCCCAGCATTTATAATTCCATGAAAATAGAATTAATACCCTAATGCCTTGAAAACAGGACTCTCCAGTGAAGATTGTGATAAGTTTATATGTTCTAATTACACAGGAAAGTCTACTTATTATGTATTTTAGAAATGCTTTCAAGAAAACATACGTAATAATGTTTCTGGTAAAAATTTTATTCAGTGATTATTCTGTTAACCTAAATATATAATTCCTTATGTATTTCCATTTCTAAAAGTTCAAATGCCCAGTAGGCATTTACTTGGGAAGCTTTTCATATAGTTTTACAACTATTATACAGCCACATAAAGATTTTGGTGAACTTTCAAAATTACATTTTAAATTTTTGAGTATTAAATATTTATTTTTGAAAGCAGGTGAATAACATCATTAGTCTGTCCTCTTAAAATATCAAAACATTGCTCCAAATTTAAGCAATTAATAATATTGAGTTATGTGATTTTTTTGGCAAATCAATATCATTTTAAACAAATTGTCTTCTGGCTTATATTTTCCAGAATATGTGGAATGTGCTATATTTACCAATTGTATTCATTCTTTGGTTAAAAACTATACAGGAATTTAAAATTTCTTTTTATCTATGATTAATACTTTTAAGTAGAAGGGGGCACATACATATTGAGTTGACGTAACATGTAAAAATAAAGTTTCAATGATGTTTAATTTGATTTTTTTTTTTTTTAATTTCAGTGTGTTTGAAGAAACTGACACAGATTTACAAGAACTTCAGGCCTCCATGGAGCAGTTACTGAGGGAACAACCTGGTGAAGAATACAGTGAGGAGGAAGAGTCCATCTTAAAAAACAGTGACGTGGAGCAGACTGCAAATGGGACAGATCTGGCTGATGACGAAAATCCCAGCAGTGAAAGTGCACTGAACGAGGAATGGCACTCAGGTGCATGACCATGGCAGACCAAACTGATCAAGATGGGCCTTTTTCTTTTTCAGTGTATATAAACACTTCAAATAGTGTGTATTTTTCTTTATGAACCATTTTCATTTTTAAATAAAATTGATCATGTTGTGTGTTTGCCCTTATTTCATTATTTTTCTTTAAACCCAACTGTGCATCCACAGTTATTCCATTTCTTTCCCATTAATTTATGGCAGTGATTTTTTTGACACGTTTTATTCAATTATTTGTTTGGTATTTCTTATTTTTCAATAGTAAAGATAATAACTTAGTTTTCTTAGCCCTCTTTTTGTTTCTTTTCTTTTTGAAATTATTCTTTTTTCATAGCATTACACCTAAGATGCATGGAAAGTTTGTATATTTTACCTGCTATATTTATTTGGGAAGAATTAATGTGAAAAAAAATGTTTTTAAATAATTTTTTCTCAGATATCTCTAGCATGTATGTGACAAAAATATCAGGTACTTATAACTTTCTAGAAACTTTCCTAAAATGTTATGATGTGTGTCATAGGTCATCTGTCTTTTGCATATGTGGCCCAAGTTTACATCAACTTTTAAAACATAGAAATCAGGATTGGTTGTTTCAGTGAAAAATATAGAGGTGTGCTTTTTCCATTTTTCACTAAATTAAATTACATTTCTAGAAATTTTTTTCTAGCCCAAATTCACTCTAAAAGAAAAAGTATTACAAAAGAAAGTTCTATTTAAAAAAAAAGATTAATTCTATAAAAAAATTTCACAAAGTAACATTCTCATTGAGACAGATTTATATATACTTTGATTATCTATATAATTGACAAATAGTATAGTGGCAGTTGTTTGTGTTGAAAATAGAAGTAGTGTAACTCAGTGACATTATTCACTTGTCATAGAATTTTATTTGATTGAGATAAGAATTATTAAGTATTTTTTAATCATAATGTATCTTTTTATTTATGCTTTTTAGATAACAGTGATGGTGAGACTACTAGTGAATGTGAATATGATAGTGTCTTTAACCATTTAGAGGAACTGAGACTTCACCTGGAGCAAGAAATGGGTTTTGAGAAGTTCTTTGAGGTTTATGAGAAAATAAAGGTAAGCACAATGTCATTTAAAATATTTACTTTGGGGCTGGGGTTGTAGCTCAGTTGGTAGAGCATTTATCTTGCATGTGTGAGGCACTGGGTTCAATCCTCAGCACCACATAAAAACAAATAAATAAAATAAAAGTATTGTATCTGTCTACAAATAAAAAATAATTTAAAAAAAATTTACTTTTGACATGAGCTCTGTTGGATTACTAGAGAAATATTGATTATCTTTTTTGTTTAATATTTTTTTAGTTGTCGATAGACCTTTATTTATTTATTTTTTTAATTTACATGTGGTGCTGAGAATCGAACCCAGTGCCTCACAACATGCCAAGCAAGTGCACTACTGCTGAGCCACAGCCCCAGCCCTGATTATCTTTATTGGTCGTTAGATTTATCATAAACATATAATAAATGGAGCCTCCGATTATAAAAAGTTATTCAAACTTTAATTAATATTTGGAAATTTGGTATAGGTTATTCATGAAGATGAAGATGAAAATATTGAAATTTGTTCAACAATAGTTCAGAATATTTTGGGAAATGAACATCAGCATCTTTATGCCAAGATTCTTCATTTAGTCATGGCAGATGGAGCCTATCAAGAAGGTAAGATTTTCTCACATCTTTATATTTTTAAAAAATGTGAGGGCTGGGAATATAGCTCAGTGGTAAAGCATATGCTCAGCATGCATCAGGACACTGGGTTTGATCCCCAGCACCAAAAAAAAAAAAGAATGCAGGTGTTATGGGGCTGTAGTTATATCTCATTGGAAGAGTGCTTACCTAGCATGTGTGAGGCTCTGGGTTCTATTCCAGCACCACATATAAATAAATAAAATAAAGATCCATCAGCAACTAAAAAATATTTTTAAAAAAGAAAAAAATGCAGATGTTTAAATGAGATGAAAAATGTAAATTGATAAAATTATATCACAAGCATTTGATGAAATCTGTATTAGAACTATATCTATTACTTTTAAGTAGTTATAAAATTAACACTGTCATATACTTTTCTTTTTTAATTTTTATTCTTAGTTATAGTTAGACACACAATACCTTTATTTTATTTATTTATTTTTATGTGGTGCTGAGGATTGAACTCCATGCCTCGTGTGTGTTAGGAGAGCACAATACCACTGAGCCACAACCCCAGCCCCTGTCATATACTTTTATTGTCTTAGATTCTTTAAGTCAGTATCTTTTTATTTAATGTATAAGTAACATTTGTATGAGATTTTTTTTAATGCTTCTTAATTGGGCAGTTCAAGAAATTAGAAAAATTCTTACCAAAGAGATAATGTTAAACTTTTACACACATAAAGAAATAGGTAAAAATTTGAATTCATTTCTAGAATGTCACAAAAAATTAATTCTATTTCTTTAAAGGTTTAATTTATAGACCAAATTAGAGGATTTTAAATGTTGATGCTTAGTTTTAGCAATCAAATTTTCATAAAATTTATTTTCCACCTTATTACAAAAAAAAAGTTTCAGATTACACTTAAAAACATGCAGGTACAAGATAAAATTAAATTTTAAAAGTATTTGAGTAAGTCAGCATATTGAGGAAATGAATATAGCATATGAAACCAGAAATGAAAAATAATACAACATTTATTTTCAAAAGATCTCTACATTTTCTGAAAATAGGACACAAGTTTGGTGTAGATCTTTCTGGCAAAGCAGGAAACTTAATTGAATGAATCCAGGCATATTCATTGGGATATGCATATTCATTGCTCAGAGGGCAGCTATTTTTGGTATTGACCAGAGAAAAAAAAAATCCCATGATTCTTAAAAAGGGAGAACTGTCATATGATGTTCTTCAAAGTAGAGTAACACATGGCTGCCTTTAAGGAGAAAAGGATTTTCCAGGCACAGGAATCCAAAGGTCCATAGTCCACAGTGTGTACTCAACTGTTAGTCTTTGAAAATGTCTGTCAGTAGAACTGTAAAACAGGTGTTTTATTTTTCCAAAATTAAAAAATTATTTTATCATCAAAATAATAATCTAAAATTTAAAGATTATTGGGAACTTACAGATTCCTGATTTTACTGAGGTCTTGGACTCATATTTAAATGAAAAATATTCTCAGTAATTTGTATAATATTTGGATTTCATTAGATTTCTCATAGTATGTTCATGGTATAATTTAATGCCATGAGGCCAGAGAATGATGTCATTGAAGTAAATCTGCATTGAGTATCAAACCAGTTCTATTCATATATAGTCTGTCCATCCTTCAGACGGTTCATCATAAGTATTATTTTAATAGAGCTTTTCACAGTAATCAACAACCATGTGCTTGGCTTCATTTCAGCCTGCAAATATTTCAGCCTGCAAGAGCTTTTATTTTGCTTTCCCCCCTCAAGTGGAGAGCTATAACAATTAACTGAGCCATGAGGTAAAATTGACATTCTCTTTTGACAGCTGAGTGTCTGCAAAAGGATGCTTGCCTACATAGGCCATCTGCCCTGCAGAGGCCAAGAATCAGACTAAACTAATATATTCCTCAAGAAGCAATATCAGGGACTGGGGTTGTGACTCAGTGGTAGAGTGCTTGCCTAGCATGTGTGAAGCACTGTTCAGTCCCCAACGCCACATATAAATAAATAAATAAATATTCATTGACAACTAAAAAATATATATATAAATAAATAAAAAAGAAGCAATATCAGACCACAAGACAGCGATCCTAACTAGAATAAGGTGTACTCCATGCTTGTATAAATATGTCAAAATATACTCTACTGTCATGTATAACTAAAAAGAACAAATTTTAAAAACCAATGGTTTAAAGTAAAGATAAAAGAAGCAGCAGCAATATCATATCTTTTGTAGCACACAAATGCAAAGGAAACCAGGACCCCAGTGTATTGTATCTTAGAACCTGGTGGCAATTTCTCTAGCCTGGGGATGGGGGAAGTAAAATTACAAAAACCAAATGGCTACCTTTAAACACAAACACACCCTAGCAACCTTTTAAAATAATAACCCATAAAATGTTATAACTTACTAATGTAGCCAGCCACTAAGTAAATTAGTATAAAATCTATAATGCATTATCTGAATAAGTTACCTTGTTCTTTTCCATGGTTAATTATTAGAAAGTTAAATGTTATATTGACTACATATCTATTTTAGATATCTATTTTGGAGCTTTTCTTATTGGAAATGTTAAGACCCCATATCCAGCTGCTGGGATTAGACATGCACCACCAATTCTTGTGCAAGTTTATAGATTCTTAAAAGGATACACATACCTTTCCTCCACATCCATTTTGGATAGAACCACTATGCTGTGTTTAAGTAATGAAATTCTATACAACAGTTAAAATGAATAAGTCAAATTTCCAACTATCAATATGAATATACCCATTAACACAATGAGTTGAATAAGTAACATGTGATACCATTTATGTAATGTTTTAAAAACAATTTTATTTACTCGTGCATGAGAGTGAAAAGCCATGGGAAGGAAGAATATACAGTAATATCAGGAGAAGAGGTGAAGGCAATAAGGTTAAAAAATGGACCTCTCTGTTTCTTCGTAATAGCCTAAACTAGGAGAGTCAAAGTTAACTTTTATTAATTCTGGGTATCAGGTACATGTGTGTTCATTAATTTTCTGATTATTCTAAACATTTATACTTATAAAAATAGTAAATTATAGTACAGAGTGATAAGAATAACATTCTAAAAATTTTAAATGTATCTAAGTTGTATAAAGCAATGATCCAGCCATTGAAAAAAATATAATGATAACAGGATAGGTCTTCCTCAGGGAGAAGATATCAGAATTGGATTTTCAAAGAAGAATGTAAATTTTACCTGAATCAGTATGAGTACTAATACATACAGGGATGTAAAATGTTGTAGTAGGGGATCTATAAACAATTCAGTGTTACTAAAGCATAAATTATGAGGGCAGTTGGGGAAGGTAGAAACTGAAAGTTGATAAGGCTAGAATGATAAAAAGCTTCTCAGCCCTCCTTAAGAAGTATGTATTCATTCTATCCTGAGGCAATAGGGAGCTAGTGAAGGGTTTTAAGCTGCACAGTGATTTGACATGACACTTGGACTTTAATGAATAATCATTAAGAATGTGGAAGATAATGTTTGTTTTGAAAGATTACATTAAGAAACCTGTTTAATTCATTCAACCTTATATTTTATAGAATAAAGAAAAATTGGGGATAACCAAAACATATGAATATGAATGGTCATTATGCCATACTATGCAGACATCAAAATTGATGTGGAATATATCCATAATTTATTCTTTTTTTTTCCCCTGGTACTAGATCCAGCACTTTACCACTGAGCTATATCCCCAGCCCTTTTTTTATTTTTATTTTTCAAGACAGGGTCTCACTAAGTCGCCAAGGCTGGCCTTAAACTTTCTATCCTCCTGCCTCAGCCTCCTGAGTAGCTAGGATTATAGTCATGTGCCACTGTGCATGGCTCATGGCTTATTCTTTCACAACATTTTATTCAAATTTTTATCATGTAGAAAATTTAAAAGAACTTTATAATGATCATCTGTATGCTCACTGTGTAGATTCTGCCATTAACACTTTATAATCTTTAGCATCTTGCTAGCACTCATTTACCTATCTTTCCACTCATTATTATTTTAAGTGGAAAAACTCATGTCTCAAAACTGCATTTTGGTGTGATTTTTAAAGAGATATTTGTGTAAAGCAATACCTAGGAAAGCAGTCTTGGAAGATTTATGTATAATTCTTAACATGGATTGTCTTTTCTCTGATGATTTTTGCTTCCTACTTTGTTCTCCAATACATTGTTTCAATATTTTACAATTAGTATGTGCAATTACAATAAAAACTACATTTAAAATGCATTAAGGGCTGGAGATGTGACACAGAACTTGCCTAGTGTGTACAAGGCCCTGAGTTCAATCCCCAGTACTGCAAAAATAAAAAATAACAACCTTCATTAAATTTCTTCCTTTAGTGTGAAAAAGAATGGATGTGGGGATTTGTCGTTATTGTTTTACTGAGCAGACACAGCTTGATTTTAAATGAAGTGGATTAATTGTTTTTCTTTTTTCTACAGATAATGATGAATAATCCTCAGGACATTCTTTAATCTTCATGTGTATGAAAGCATTTGAATTTGACTCATCAGAATAACAAGCTTCAGTGGGAAATACAAAGATTATTTATAAGAAATACCATATTTAAGATGGACATGGTTTTTGCATGAAAAAGATGGAGAAACATGCAATTTTTCAGTTAAGATTTTAACACTATATCTTTTGTTTTTTGAATTCTGTAGTTGAAGTCTATAGAATATATACTTGATTAAATCATCCAACCAAAGGACTGACCTAGAACTGGAGTTGGTGGTTTTGAAAATTACCATGCAATAAGGAATTTTGATTTTCAGAAAATTTCTTTAAGTTGAAAAATTACCTATGTCACTAAAGACTTACCTGAGGTTTTTTGTTTAAGTATTTAAGCATGACCTTTCTTTTGGTCTAATGCTTGTTCATCCTGACCAGCAATTCTTCATTAAGTAACCTTGTCAAGGGCTCTATTTAAATTTTGAAGTGGTATTTTTAACCTTGAAGTTGATATTCTTAAGCCATTTATCAACCATTGTGTCTCCTGAACTAGCTTAGTGGAAATAGTCCTAGAAATCATTGAAAGACTTGATTATGAAAAAAGTAAAATTATATTTCCTGATATTTAAGAAGCTGATTAATTACTTTTGTTTCTCTTTAAGGACTAGAACCAAGAATATTTTATCTAAAAACAAGGTTGTGAATTTTTAAAATTGACCTAGCATATATCATAAGTTGCCCTTTGGTTTTTAACTTCTTCCATGCATATGCTTCAATAGCAATATGAGATGAAAAAGGAGAAAGGAATCTTTTTTTTCTTTTTTTGACATTGTGACAGTTTTGGTAACTAGTATGGGGAACTTTTTGCCTCTTATTTCCATCACAAGAGGAGTTAGGTCATTAAGATTAAGGTCACATAGCTTCAAGAATAATATGCCAAGTATTACATCATTGTATTAGTGATGGATACAGTCCAGATGTTTTTAGTAATAAAAGCAGAATTTTTGAACCACTGAGTACAAATCAGCCTGATTGGCATAATCTATAATTCAAAACATAAAATCTTATCTTGCAGCACTATCATATTATGTCAGATTTATTATGTATATTATTTCTAACATCCAAAAATAAACAGTTGATTTTATATGTTTATTTTATATTACTATTAAATTTTTATTATCTTCCTGAAGTATACTGTTGATTGTCTTTTATCAGTACTATTCTCAATAAGATGCTTTTACACAAAGCTGAGAATAATTGCTTGGTTTTGTACCCAATTAGTTCCCCACCACACACACTTTTTTTAAATGCAAGAATATTTTAGGGCTGGGTCTATAGCTCAGTGGCAGAGCACTTGCCTTGCACATGCAAGGCCCTGAGTTCAAACCGTAGCACCACATAAAAATAAACAAATAAAATAAAGGCATTCTGTACAACTACGAAAATTTTTTTAAAAAAATAATATTTTAATTCTTCACTTTAATTCTCTATAATCCTGAAAGGTAGAAATGATTGGGGTTGGGATTATTTGTTAATTCATAAACTATTCCAACTACTAGAAAAGCAAATAATGGTATAACAATAGAAAAGGCTATTGTAACCATATTTCAAAAGATGTCATATTTACATGAATAGGGATGATAAATAGGATTTGTTTCATCTGTAGTCAGTTGGTAGTGAATGACTGGAGTGTTATTATGGAAAGTTTGTGCCAGCAGGATAGACTATTATTGTTGAGGAAAGTCTATTATAGGTATTGTTGGTAAACTATGGAAGCATCTAGATTCATAGAATATTAGAGCTAATAAGGGGTTATTAGGATAATTTAGTATTATTTCCATTAACAGGTAAGGACATTGAGTAATAACATGAGGGGCTGGGGATGTGGCTCAAGGGGTAGTGCGCTTGCCTGGCATGCGTGCGGCCCGGGTTCGATCCTCAGCACCATATACAAACAACGATGTTGTGTCCGCCGAAAACTAAAAAAAATAAATATTAAAAAAATTCTCTCTCTCTCTCTCTCTCTCTCTCTCTCTCTCTCTCTCTGTCTTTCTCTCTTTCGCTCTCTCTTTAAAAAATAAAATAAAATAATAACATGAAATTAAGACACTCACATTAAGGGCCAGGGATAGGCCAATTTCCCTGATATGCTATTAGTTGCACATTCTCTCCTTTTTAAATTTTTTGTTTGTTCTTTTTTAATTATACATGGCATTAGAATGTATTTTGACATATTATACATATATGGATTATAAATTCCCTTTCTTCTTGTTGTACATGATGTAGAATTATACTGGTTGTATATTCATATATAAACACAGGAAAGTTATGTCCAATTCATTCTACTTGCTCTCCTTTTCCCATCCCCACTCCTTTCCCTTCATTCCCTTTTGTCTAATCCAATGAACTTCTGTTCTTCCCCTCTCCCACTTATTGTGGGTTAGCATACACATTTCAGAGAGAACATTTGGCTTTGATTTGGGGGGATTGGCTTATTTTTCTTTATGGCTGAGTAATATTCCATTGTGTATGTATGACACATTTTCTTTATCCATTCATCTGTTGAAGGGCACCTAGGTTGGTTCTATAGCTTTGCTATTGAGTTGTACATTCGCTTAAAATTTATCTTCTCTAATTAAGTGGGGTAGCATATGCCTATAATCTCAGGGACTCTGGAGGCTGATGCAGGAGGATCACAAGTTCAAGGCCAGCCTCAGCAACTTAGCAAGACCCCCCCCCCAAAAAAAATAATAAAAATAAAAATAAAGAGCTGGTATTGTAGCTAAGTGGTAGAGTGCCCTGGGTTAAGTCTGTAACACTATAGACAAATAAATAAGGAAACAAGCTCCTCTAAAGAATGATAAGGAAAAGTACACTTGGCATTAATGCCTTAAGAATTTTAAAATATTACACTTCCCTGCTGAGAATATTTTTAAGTGATAAAGTTAGGTTCCCCCCCCCCATAAATTAACACATATTCTAATCCTCATCACCTTATTGATGATGGATCTTTCAAGATTGTGTGTTTGTTATAAACCTGGAAAACAGAAGGTAAAAAGATAATATATTGCTAGGCCAAAGCTTTGAAGAAAACCTCAAGCCAGAGAGAAAGTGGAATAATGGAGAAAATAAATCCACTGGAAAGAGAGTATATCACCTTATACTTTGGTCTGTCAGACTCAAGAGGCAAAGCAAGTAGAAGGCAAGCCTAGGGCCTTCATATTGGAGAATTCTGTTAGGAAATTCTTCTATTAAGGAGGGACCCCAAAGGGTTATATCCTTACAATACAGAAGAACTAAGACTAAAACCAGGCCCCATTCAGACCATCACTTGACACCACTACCATGGAAACAAACTTCCAACATAGGAACCTTTGGAGATTCTGAAACCATATCCAAAATTTAACAAAAATGTTTTAAGAGTGAAAAAAAAAAATTGAATTTTGACTAACCACTAACCATGATGAAGCAAAAGCAAGCATGTTTACCTGGAACATTTGGCAACAACACCAGGCTAAATACAAATAGCAAGCAACAATCAACAAAGGTCAGTGCCACAGAAGAAGGGGAAATGAAATGGGCACCATGATTTCTCAGGTTTTCTGCACAGAAATAGCATGGGGTAGTGTCAATGGAGATGGAGCATAAAAAGCCAGGGATTTCCCAAAATAGGGATACAAAAGTTAGAGTTTAAATCAGCCAGAATTCAGAGGTAGAGTACATTTCCCAAGATAGGCCATATTTTGAACCTAAAAAATATGCCAAGAAGTTTTAAATAAGTCATGAAAAGTATGTTTTCTGACCACAATGAAGTTTAAAAATCCCAAATATTTGAAAATCAAATGTATTTCTAAAGGATTTGTGGCTCAGATGAATATACCAAAATTAGAAAATATTTTGAATTGAATAAAAATTAAAATATGACACTTAAATTTGTGGGATGCACCTAAAGCAGGGATTAGTGAAATTTCTCACATTAAACACTTAATACGGGGCTGAGGTGGTGGCTCAGTGGTAAGAGCACTCGCCTAGCTTGCACAAGGCACTGGGTTCGATCCTCAGAACCACGTAAATGTAAAATAAAGATACTGTGTCCACCTAAAACTAAAAAATAAATATTTAAAAAAAACAATACTATAAAAAAATTCCAAAAACTTAAGCTTCTATCTTAAAATGTGGAAGAAAACTCATTCAAAATAGATTTTTTTTTAAAAAGGGAAATGATGTTTTCAAGTCACAAGAACCAATAAAACGTAAATTAGACAAGCCAAGACCTAGTTCTTTAAGATCATCAATAAAACATAAATTTCCAACATGACTAAAAAATATTCAAGACAGACTGGGTGCTGTGGTACACACCTATAATCCCAGCTACATGGGAGACTGAGGCAGGAGGATCACAAGTTCAAGAAAAATGTAGCAAGTTAGCAAGACCCTACCTCAAAATAAGATTTTAATAGGACTAGGATGTAGCTTAGTAGTAGAGTGCTTGCCTAGCATGTGCAAGTTTACAATCCCCAGTACCACAGGGAGAATAGGGAGGATGGACATAAGACATAATTGGAAACGTGGAATGAGAAAGAGTAGTACTAAGAGACAGTAAATAGATAACAAGGAAATGTGAACAATTTATGCCAATATATTTGAAAGTTTAGTTAAACTGTATTATTCCCACACCAAAAACTACCTATAATAGATTACCATAAAATATCATAAAGTGAGTGGCTTAAACCACAAGAATATATTTTCTCATTATTCTAGGGGCTAGGAATCTAAAATTAAATTTCTAGCTGATTTGATTTCTAACAAGGGTTCTCTTCCTGGCTTCTAGATGACCACCTTCTCACTGTGGTGCATGGGAGGAAGACATACACTCTCTGGTGTCTCTTATATGGACAATAAACCTATAGGATCAGGACCCCACTCTTAGGCTGTCATTTAACTTTAATTACTTCCTTAGAAGCCACATCTCCTCATAGTGCCAAACTGGGGGATGAAAGCTTCAACATGAATTTGGAGGGAGCACACCCAAAAGATAGAAAATCTGAATAGCCCTATAAAACCATAAAATAGAATTCTATTTTAAAGCCTTACCACAAAGAAATCTTTGGGCCCAGATGGCTTCAATGATGAATTACACAAAGTATTTTGGAAAAAAATAGTACCAATTTTACACAAACTGTTCCAAAATACAGGACTACAGGTAAAATTTTCCCTCCACTCTAAGAGCCTAATATTACCTGTTCCTAAAGCCAGAAAAAAAGGGAGTATTCTAATTAAAGAGAACTATAGACTCATCCACCTCATGATCATTGATGAAAAAAATCCTAACAAAATTTTAGCAAGTTGAACCCAAAAGTACATAAAAAGAACAATGCATGATAACCAAGTGAAATGTATGCCAGGAATGCAAGATTAGTTTAACATTTTTAAAAAAATCAATGGAATTCATTATGTTAGATTAAAAAAGGAAAAGCCCCTGATCATCTCAATTGGTGCAGGAAAACAAAAATCTTTAATCCAAGTCTATTTCCCATAAAAACTCCACAGACTGGGAATAGAAAGGAAATTCGTCAGTCTGATAAAGGTCATCTAAAAAGCAAACAAACCTACATCTGGCATGCTTAATGATGAAAACAAAGTTTTCTCCCGAAACTGAAAAAGAACAAGGATTTCTGCTTGCACCACTTGCTTTCCACTTTGAACCAGAGATTTTAGCTTTTGCAGTAATGAAAGAAAAAAAAAAAAAACACATTAGGGCAAACAGATTGAAAAGAAAGAAATAAAACTTAAAGGATTTGGTAGTCATAACATGTAGAAAATGCTAAGAAATCTACACAAATGCTGTAAGAACAAAAAAGTTAAAAATGATGACAGGATACAAGGTCAAGGCTAAGCATTTATTTCTGTATACGAGAATCAGAAACTGAAAATTCGAAGATATTATTTATAATAGCATCAAAAATATAAAACAGGTATACACTTAATAAAATTTGTGTAAGACTTGAGTACCAAGATTATAAGACATTGGTGAGAAAAATTTAAAGAAAACCTACATGGCCATATATATCCTGTTTGTGAATCAAAAGATTCAATGTTGTTTGCAAGAAAATAGGAAAAATCTTGGTTATCTTAGGTTTGGCAAAAGTTTCTGAAACAGGTAAAAATTACAAACTACAAAAGAAAAAAATGACTTCATCAAAATTACAAACGATTCTATTCAAAAAATAAATCAGACTAGGTGAT